CACCAGAAGATGAAGCTGTCCACACAGTCTTCAGAAACGCTATACAGGATCACATCCAAATAGTGGATGGCTACTTCTAAAAAAGTAACAAGACAGTTTAACATCACAGCCTTTCTCTGGCTATGTTAACAGACCAGTTGCCAATGTAAGTAAGTAAACGCCTGGTTGCCACTGGTAGAGGCTTATTTGTCCTCACTGCCTTCGAATCTATTCCAACTGAGGGCAGGACAGAAGTGCCCCTGCTTGTCTGTGAGACTAACTCTTCACGGGTGCAGAAGGCCTCGTTCGGTGGAGGAGCTGGTGGTTTTTAACTGCTAACCTAGAGGTCAGACGACCAACGAGTGAGCAGGACACCACCTGCGCTCCTCACTGGCAAGTTAAAAAAGACAACCTCGCTGCCGTCGAGTCAATGATGACTCAGTGACACCCCCTGTGGAATTCCAAGGCTCTTTAATTGTTTACGGGAATAGAAAGCCCAGTCTTTCTCCCGCGGAGCTGCTGGTGATTCAGAACTGCAGCTCAAGGGGATCCCGGCCCAACACGCAACCGCTGCAGAGAGAGCTAAATAGGGGCTTTGCATGATTACCAGTAAATTACAGGCGACTTCTAAATGAATGGCAATTTCTTAGAAGCTACTGTTTAAATAAAACGCTTGGCCACAAAGCAGAGGTACCGGGTTTCCGGGTAATTCGCTACTTTTCAAGGACTTGGAATTACGAGGTTAAGCTTTCGGTAGTATGAGAATACTACAGAATGCCTTAGGAGTAGTATAGGTCACACGGAAAAAGAGTAGTCGCAGAGGGTTCTGGGAGCCGTTTCCAAAATTGCTCTACAGGTTTCACGCCCAATTACTCTGGGATAGTAATAGGAAACTACCAGCGGGGCTCTGAAAAGGGGTCTTAGGAAAGAAAGCTCCTGTATTCTTCAGAGGAGAACCAAGGGCCCGAACTGACCGCTTGCACCACGCAAACACGGCGCGCGACGCCAACGCCAAAAACTGGCCACCGGGGCCAGACGCGAGGGACGCAGGCTGGGGCGCCGAGATCTGATGGGCCCACGCGTCCAGGTCTAAGCCGTCGGCCCGCGGGTCCGCCGGGCCCGCTCGGCGCCTGTGCCCGCCCGCGGCCACTCACCGGTACTCGTAATGTTCATCGAAGTACTTGTCCGAATAGTATATTTGCTTGTGAGCCATCTGGCCGGCAGCCCAGCGGGACAGGTCGGTAAGAAAGGCACAGAGCAGGAGCAGCAGCACGGGTGGGCCCGGCAGGTAACAGCAACCACGCAACTGAGGTCAACTGACTTTAGGCCCAACGATCCGGGTTTGAATTAGACAACGCAAAGCTGATTGGGCGCCAGCGCTAACCAATCACCTTACGCGCAGATGCGTCATGGCGTAGTCTGAATCCTAGCCTATCGTGACCTCGCTTCTGGGAGGTGCGTTTCCATAATCAACCAATGAGAGACCTGTTGCGAAGTCACTCCTAGGAGGGACTAGAAGAGTTGTAAGGCGTGGAGGCGGAACCTCCCGGAGCCTGCACGTTAAAAGACAAAGCGCGTGCGCAGGGATGTAGAATGTTCCAGTGCGACTAGGCGGTTGGGGCGGAGGGGCTGAGGCTGAGTGTGAGGGCGGTGGAGCTTCGCCGGTTGGGGGTGGGGTTGTATGCTGGGCGTGGTAGAAGCCGAAAGGCTCTCGGAGGAATTAGTCACAGGGACAGTTCTACTGTCTTTTAGGATTAGTAAGATTTGGATCCACAAGATGGTAATGAGTTGAGTTGTGAGCTCCTAAACTTGGGAGTTTCTGGGCTGCTTTTTGTCAGGTTGCCCTTTTCCTGTATTTTGGACTCTGAACTTTTTTAAAAGCAAAAGGATAAAGACCACCAGAGTGAACTGTTAGAGTGAATCACTGTAGAAAACACAGGCGAGCAGTGTGTGTGGACGCGCCCCTTGCTAGAGCTCGCTGCAGCTCGTGGGGAACAGAGGGAGGGTGGTGTGCGACC